TAATTTTCATATTATGCCCGCTACAAATACATTCAGGAATATGACTGAAATTGGGTCTTCCGTAAGTTTATATGGATCTCACACCTGACGGAGCACTTAATCTATGACATAAATAAATGTTTCGTTATGTTAATAGTCACTATATAGTAGGGCTGATGTCAGTAAAATGTCTGATATCAGAGACAAAGGAAGGACACAAAACAGTGCGATTACATGATGCAGACTTAGGTCATGTTCATATTAAAGAGACCTCATGAACGACTGCCCTTAACAAATCTAAAGAGGGCGCTATCATAACAATAAAAACTTGTTTTACAAGTATAAGTTGTGGATATAAAAACGGCTTTGACACATGATCTGGAGTAAAGTTTTCCACGCTGGACTGAGGACATGTTGGATACTGGGTTGTAGCTAGGGATTTTTTAGTGCTGGCTGTTTTACACAGGATGCTGGTTGTATGCACTCGTGTACATGCACTGTATGCATGTGTACATGTTTGTTTTACATTTGTACATTATCATATATGCATCATCAATGCACATCTGGAAATGCAGATGCTTTATGGTGCATTTACAGTGTCTTGTTGCAACCATTGGTCTTTTTTCCCTTTCAATTTGTAATTTTACTTTTGCTTTACGTACATGTATTAGTGTCTGAAATTCCTGAAGGTTAAAATGAACCACTTGTAGGTGTACCAAAATTGTAAATATCGAGGCTTGTAGAGAGAGTTTTCCCACCTGATCTCACACCGTTTTACAAAATTTCAATTTGCTTGTTCAGGATTTTGGGATTTTCTAAGTGCTGACTGTATTACCTTAACATCTGCCCATCCATGGTGTATTCCCTTCAAGACCGTTTCTGTGGATTTGCAACCTGAGGATTGGTCTTTTAAATGACTATCCAAATCAGAATCTCTCTGGACGATTGTACATTTGTGTCGCACTTATATTTCAATGAACTTATGTCCTAAAATTGTTGAAAGCCCGTACAAAACAATGCAAAACCGAATGAGAATCATAGAGCTATATAACTAGAGCGCTAACTTCAATTTATTAATGGCTCTGGGAGAACGTTACTGGACTTTTTCATTATGCAGGGGGAATGATGGCTTTGTTTAGTAACTTTGGGGGGGGTGGAATGCACTTAATAAAAACTTGTAACATGTACAGCATGTCTTGATTTCTTTTGGAAATGTTTCTGGTTTCGTTTTTAATTTTTTAGGGGGGGGTGGTTGCCTTACTTATTAAAGTTCTTATTACTTTATAAACTTTGATGTAAATGAAAACATGGCATCACTCTATCATCACAGTAGACTGCACGGTGAAAATTCTGAATTGCATGGAATGACGGCTGGCCACGCTGACTCGCGTCAGTTGCCTGACTGTGCGTTCACGTGCATAACATGGACACATCTCACATTAATGTCACCCACCGGCGTGAAGGGAAGGCAGTGTAGCTGAAACAGCAAATTACCTGGTAGGTGATGAACACTTGACTAAGATATCAAATTATTGTTCAAATTAATTACAATAATAATAAGCTCTGAGCAATCTCTGATTTCTGTAAAAGTACGAGTTGTCTTGTACACGAAGGTATAAGTTGTCTTTACTGGAGGTACAAGTTGTCCAAGGTGTGACTCTGCAAAAGTACGAGTTGGTACAATTATGTTGACTTATGTAGGAGTTGTTCATGGTAAGAGTTGCCCAAGGAAGGCCCTACAATGTACAAATTGACCTGTTCCCTACAGTTCTACATTAGAGCTAGTTCTACTGAATGGAACATAGAATTCCTCTTCGTCGAGTTTTGAATGACCGATCCTATCCAAAACTTGAGTAAGAGGAGTACTACGCTCCACTCAGTAGAGCTACGTTAGAGCACGGACCATATACCCAGGGATGTGCAACTGCAAGTGGCCCCAGTGCAAACATATGTGCGACATGGGTTCCATGCATGTTACGGATCGTTATTACCCCCGAGGCGCTCTCGACTTTCTCGAAAAAACTCGCGACCACGACACGCGTTGCAGCATGTACAGTGCAGCCATGGTTATGCTGACGCGCTGATGTGGTGCTTAAATCTATTTGTTTTGACGAATATATCTCCTTCATTTATCGATTTCAAGGAGAAACGAAGTTTTAATGAAGCAAAATTCCCTAATTAAACGATGAAAAAACTTGAGCAGCATATTTTCAGAAAGGGTGTTACCTGACTTAAAATAATACAAGAAAACAAAGTAGTAGACAGGAATATGTGTTTTATTATTAGAGAAAGTGTAACATAATCCAACTTAAGTTTTGCTTTGATATTGTGCCGGCCATAACACGCACTGAACCAGCTCTGGGCTTAAGTTGCACATCCCTGGGCAAATGGTCCATGGTTAGAGCATGGAATACTTTGAGAACTCCAAGTCACAACTCCATCATACTTGAGCCAACACGGTTTACGTAGTGTCATAACGCTATGGGGTTTTGGAATTAGATTTTTGTGATGAAATGATTCATGTAAGAAAGCTTTAAAATCAAATTTTCCCCTAAAAAAACCAAACCTGATTAATCTATACCTCTTAAAAAGCAGTGGTGGGAATGACATCTTGTATTGTTTTCATGCTGTGACCTGGAAACACCCATGGGAGGGACGTGCAACATAAGCTGTGCTATGTAGCTGTGACCGATTGCAAGACTGAAAGATCCCCCTGCCACCGAAAATGGTTGAAACAAGATGCAGATCATGCGCAGTCTGATAAACAGGAACGACATGAATGGAGCGACAGTCTCTGGGTGGAACTTGGGAGCGAGAAATTGGTGGGCAATTCTCATTTCTTGCAAAAATACTCCATCTCATGCTCTGAAACCTTGTTATCCCACTTTGTAAACAGTATACTATTATCAGTAGTTTTAATTATTTGATTTTGGCTGACGGGAATATTTGATTTAATAGCTCACTTACACCAGTGAATCAATGAACCAAAAAAATCAGATTCCAAAACTCCATTGGGTTATGACACCATGTAAACCTTGTTTAAGTCCCACGGAATATGACGGAGTACTTCAAGTAGTGACTTCGAGTTCTTGAACCAATAGAGCAATGTCGAACCTAATGAAAGTGTTATGCCCCAACTATAACACAAGTCCCAACTATCAGTCCCAACTGTCATGACTGTAGTGCCGCAGTTGGGCTGGTCAATGTCTGTGGGAAATGTCTCAACATTATCCAAGTCATCAATGTGGCTCACTCTTGACACAATTCATCTAAAATGTGGCACTTCAACTGTTCATCTACATGATGGCCGATAACATGACACTTGACCGATGACATGACTTTGGCACATGCTGGACACATCATGCACACAGGACCTCTGTGCTGTAGTTGGGCTGGCCCAACTGTAGCCCTTCTAGTTGGGATGAGCCCAACCATAGTTGGGACAGGCCAAACCATAGTTGGAACTGATACTATAGTTGAGGCGTACCATAAGCATGGAAAGGAAACAGCAT